CTTTCCTTTGGTGTGTAGGTCGTGTGTTAAATGTTAGCGTGCTGTAGGTGGCCCGCCCGCGCTATACCGCGGGCGGGGCTGTTGTTATCTAGGCGGTGGTGCGTTGCCTTCGGGGACGAGCTCTCTTGGTAGGGCTCTGTCGCGTCGCGTACGGGTGGGGTCGTGTGCTGGTGCGATCTCTCTTAGATGCTCGTGCGCTGAGTGCTCCGCTCGACCGTACATAGCTGTGGCTAGCGTTGCGATAAAATCATCAAGTGGTTCTACCTTTAGATCACGTAGGATGGTGGTGTTGCGTACGAAGCGCCCTGCGTTGGTAATCGTGCGCAGCGATAAATTTTGCTGTGCGCGGAGGCGTTTGCGCAATGTTTGCGCGACTAGCGCGTACCAGGCGGGCGCGGCGTAAGTCAGCAGGGGGCGGATATACATTTTATAGATGCAAACCTTTGTTTTCAGCGGGAGCCGGCTGCATAGGATGGGGCGTAGTTTCGTTCGAGCTGTTTTTGCTTTCTTGATTGTGTTGAGTACATGGCTGCGTAGGTTGAGGCGGCGGTCGATTGTGATTCCGAGGTACTTTATCTCTGGGATCCATGGGACCGGCCTGCCTAATATGGTGATCGGTGGTGGGTTTTCACGTTGTTGGCCGACGAGCATCGCCTGAGTTTTGTCGACGTTGACACGGATGCGCCATTTCTCTAGCCAGGGTGATAGGGCGTCGAGGGTGGGCTGTAGTTTGGTGGCTGCGTGGTATGGGCGTATTGATGAGCTCAGGAGTGCGGTGTCGTCAGCGTACAGTGCCAGCTGGACATCCCCCTGTATTGGTATGTCATTAGTGAATGCGGTGTATAAGTGCGGCGACAGGCAGCTGCCCTGCGGTACGCCCGCAAGTACCGGGCGCAATGTAGAGTATGTGCCCTCTACCGTTACGTGGATGCGACGATCTGAGAGAAATGATGCAATCACTTTTAACAGGCGTTGTGGCAGTGGAGTCTGGGAGAGTTTGTAGAGCAAGCCTTCTTGCGCTTGCGCTTGCGTGACTTGCGCTGGGGGGGCAGGTTGGTGAATAATCCGCCTATGGACGATGACCATCAGCCCTCTGATAGGCATTCCATTCTGTGGAGACTGTTCATCCTGCCTATAGATTTCGTAATAGGGTAGTTTGAATATTTTTGCTGGGGGTAGTCTGGTCTCACTCAGGAGCGCGATATCGATGTCATATTCGCGGAGAAAATGTAATAATGCTCGGCGCTTCCTGGTGAGAGATTGGCAATTCCAATGAACTAACCTTAGGCCTGCGAATGTTTCATAGTTATTCAGCGGAGGCTTGATTGGAGCTGTTCGGCTAGGGCGAACAGGCGTCGTATGTCGTCGTCTTGGTTAGTGGATGTTTGTTTGGGTGCGGGCGCCGTAATTTGCATTGGCTGTGGTTGTGCCGCGTCCTCTGTTAAAGCAGTGCGGCGACCTCTTTTCTTATGGCGACGGCGGGTGATGGTAGTCCCGGCGTGGGTGGGCGGCGCGTTGGCGGGGGCCATAAGCGAGGCTGGCGCGTGATCGTTTACCTCATTACGCGGTATGGTTGCGTTTGTGGTAGGGCCGGTTTTGGCCACAGTGGTGGCGGTCTTATTTCTGGTTTCCTTTTTCAAGGCCGGGCAGCTACTATGGTTGGCCGGGTGCGGTCCGCCGCAATTTGCGCGTGGGTGCGGGCAGTCGGCGGCGGTGTGTGGTTTGCCGCAGCGTACGCAAGCGATGGGTGGATGACAGCCCTTGGATGAATGGCGGAAGCCCTGGCATCGGTGGCATTGCGCTGGGCCCTTCTTGCCACGCCAGACTTCGATTGTTACCCCTGTCATGTTGAGTAACTCTTTATCTCGTAAATCTGTGGTATGGTGTCAGCAGCGCGGTTTAGCGCCGCAAAGTATATGCATCCCGGGCGGCCAGCGCGGGCACGGATGCGTTTCACGTGCTCACATTGGAAACCCCCCTCTCCGCTAGGGCCTCGACAATGTGAGCCGGCTCCGTGTTGAAGGGCAGTCCTCGTATGGCCACCTTGAGACTTCTCTCCTCTGGCAGGGCGTACGAGTACCAGCTCAATCCCCCGAGCCCCTCTAGGTCGGTGAGATAGGCTTGTATGAGCCGGTACTCGTCCGCGTCTTCGGGCGTGAAGCGCACTCCTACGCCAAACGGACGTGAGTTTGGGGCTCGTCCCAGCTTTTCCCGGATGGCCCGGAAATGCGTCGGCCAGTCAGGAAGGTGCTCCACTATTAGAGGTGGGTACTTACGTTCCCGTTGGGTAACGGGGACCGTACCTGCAGTCGTAGTGGTTGTTTTCTGGCTTGGGCGGGCGGTGGCAGCGGTTTTGGGCGGTAAGGTGATGGATTGGGCGGCTGTCGTGGTGACAGTGGAGTCTGTGGAGAAACTCACCGCTTTCGCGTATGTTGTTGCGGGTGGGTGGGTGGAAGAAATTTTTTTCTCCGGATACCCCCGTGGCGATGGGTGACGGAGAGGGATAGGCGATCGTCCGTCTCGCTTGTAGTTCTCGTTGTTGCAGCGGGGCGGGTGTTTCTAAAATCTCCTCCGAGGGTAGGGGTGATTTTTCCGATTTTTGTTGCGAGTTCTGTTTAGCTGGCGGTTCGATCGGCGGTGATGGTGGCGCGGGTTTGTCGCCGCTGCTATGGGACCTGCGGTGGCGCGGGTCACGCGGGTGCGGCGTTCGTTCCGTGGCGCGTTTTTCTTCTTTTTGGGCCGATGGTGGCCCGCGTTTACGTTTGGTGGCGCTGGGTGGTGGCGTTGGCACGGACATGTTGAAGCTGACCTCACGGTTAGCGTGAAGCGCGTCGAGCGCAATCTGGTCGGCTTCGGTGAGATCCTGGGTGTCACCCAGCTCGAACTCCACCAACCGCAGGTACACCCCCAACCAACGGACTAGGCCTTCTGACACACAGCCAGTTTGGACCAGCCTAGCCACTATCATGGTGTCCGATTCATATCGAACACGCTGTGATGGCGACTGGGCGGCCGTTCTGAGCCAGTAGGTTAGGGGGTTTGCCGCTGATGGAGTTCGGGCCGTTCTGGGTGACGGTTGTGGTGTTAGGGTCGTCTGCGCTACGCCGGGGGTCGGCGGGGCAGTTGCTTGAATAATCGGTGCGGGGGTTGTTGCACTTTTCCCGGTTGGCCGCGATGTTGTCGGCTCGGTTGTGCCAGGCATTGGACGCGGCGGCGGATTGTCTGCCATAGCTCGCGGTTACGCGAGCGCGGCGCGGTGCAGGGGGGTATGAGCGCGCGCGACCCTGAGCAGCGCGCGCGGGCGCGCTGCCCTGCAGCTATTGGTGGGGCGTTCCCCGCTGGCCTGATGGCCAGGCAAGGTTCGCTTGTCTTATCCCACGATAAGGAAAGCGACACTTTTGGTGAGTTTAAGGGTCCGTGCACGGTGTAATAACATACGAATAGGTCATTCAACGGTCCAGCTCATAACACATTCCTTAATGACCCGATTAGGTTCAAACTTGGTATATATACTCTTAATGAGGTGCTCAACTAGTGCCTACCTGGATGAGTAAACCTACCCCCACCAACCCCTCCATTCCGCGAACTTATTGACCTCCCCTCGTATCAATATTATTCCATTTATACTCTCCATGTACAGGTCTAAGTATATATATTGTATACAGGCACCTATGTCAATATTTACACTCAATATTTACAAGTCAATATATAATAGGTTTGTTGTAACCTTGAAACCTGATCGTGTTCAAAGTCCATTACGTGGCCTTTCTCACAAGTGCAAACACGACCATGATACGATATTCCATCATGGAATTCCAGTGCCTATCTTCCGGCTTCATCATCAGACCTTGAAACCTAATCGTGGTCAAAGTTCCAGATTCCATTACATAGTTACATACAGGTTGACCTAATAATAGCGTGTTAAAAAGATCCGCCATATGACTACACCCCTCCTGATGTTAAGTGACGGTGGAGTCCAGGCCAGTGTGTTATTGATTGTCTTATTTTAAACAAAACAAAAGACGACAGGTGTTTTTGCCTAGGAACCAATAACAACATGCGGTATATAATTGTAAAGGGTTTTTATGTACTCCAATGGCGTAGTGTCCTGAATTGCTGTGTGAAAAATGTTATGACACAATAAAGCCAGGCAGAAAATAATTTAAAACTTTTTACTTTGTCTACAAGGCCCACATTCCTATCCTTTACATTCACACTGGTTTTTACCTGTTTTACATTAGGTAATACAAATTTCATACATTTCGTTTTTCCTTCATTAAGTAATAAATTGTTAACATTGAACCAGTGGACTACCTTAGAGATACAATTGTTCATCATCAGGTGCTAAATAATATATACTTACAGAACACTTATTATGCGTAACATAAAAATAAACGTTTATATTTTTGCGAATGAAGTCGGGCTTTATTGCGTTCTAACTTTTTTCATACAGCACTTTGGGACTTTTCGCCATAACAGTAGTTATAAGTACATAAAAAATCTTTCCAATGATATGTCGCATGTTGTTATTGGTTCCTAGGCAGCCTTCCATACATATTTGCCAGTTCTCCTTTCGCTTTTATGTTTAAGAATACGTACAGCTACGCGATCACGTTTAACTTTATTTCTATTAAGCTCAGCGATTTTATTATAATTTTATAAATTGTTTGTGCTCTTTTTATAGTAACCAAATCAAAACAATATTTAATTCAGAATGCACACGTTTAAGCGAATCATATAAGATATTTTTTAGGTCACCCGGGGCTATTGTAGCCAGGGGCAAATATAGCTGTTTCAAATAACTCGTTACTGATTCGTTTTTTAAATAAGTTTCATCTGTGGCTCTGTAGAATAACTTTTGTGGACCTACTTAAAAAAAAGTATGTGAAACAGCTACATTTGCCTAGACCTTATTTTTTATTTAGTTCCTCCTATTTTATTCTCCAACAATTTCTGTAAATCATTATGTAATTATTGATAGCAAACACGTTATTTTTCAGGAAGAGGAGTTTCATGACATAATAAGGTCAGCGAATCGAATCAATTTTCTTTATGGCTACATGTTTGACGAGGAAATAGTTAATCAGGATTTAGCGGGTGCGCTCACGCAGCTCCTGAAGGCATCGTGGAGAGTGCAATCGGAACCACTTTGGGTACCAGCTTCTTGGGTTCAGTAGTGCTAAAGACCTCAACAAATTATATTCGTTTCATTAGGAGATATTTTGAAAAGATTTTTTTTTTTCAATATTTTCTCCCAAATGCACACTGTACTTAGCTAATAGAAATAATTATACCTAACTATTGTTTAATATTATTGATGTTATTTAGAAATGTTTGTTCAAATTCTTGTTCGGCTCCATTTTACTTTGTACTGTTGGTAAGGCACAGTAGAATTTAATTTCTTTTGTTTAAGCACTAAAAATTTTTTTTGCCGTTTTTGGTAATTTTCCGTTACAAAACCACGCAACAATTTCATATTAGTTATATTATTAGAAACTGTTTGGTATATTTATACTGTTTTCTTTTTATAAAGAATACATACTGAGCAAATGCGCCAATTTTATACTATTACGTAATTCCATTGTTAATTTTGTGTAAGAAATAATCAAAACGGTGGTAGTATGTGTGCGCAAAATTAGTTTTCAATAATATAACGTTAAGATGTGAGTGAGTGATGCAACAGAGAATATGTTAATAGCTATTATGAAATTGATTAAAATAGAAACATCTTTTTGGCAATTCCGTTCGCGTAGGTACATAATATGTTTGTCGCTGCACAATTGCACGGAAACCCAAACCTTATGCACGCTGGTGGTTTGCGAGTGCATTTTAAGCGAGACTTTTGGTTGCCATGGCAACACCTATGTCACATAATATCAACAGTAGGCTAGCCTCACAAAGTCTTAGTCATATTACATATCGAATCAAAAACACGTATTTGCATGAAATTTTACTACTATCCACACATATTCTGATTATTACAAACTAAGGATTTCTCAGATTAATCTGTGCGTTATTTTATTTCTCACGGACGAGCTTTATGAATCTAGGATGAGTACACACAGGAGGCAGCCTCAGGCATAGCGGGGGCGACAGATCTTTTCCCAATCTCGCCAAAAATATAGTTGTTATATTGTATTTAAATGCGCTTTTTGTTTTAATGTTTGCTCGGTCAAAAATTACAGCTGACAGCAATAACAAATGATTCTTGAAACCAATCCCGACTCTGGAGCATGCCTCCAACTCTACACCTCCACTGTTGGTGTAGTTGACGCGTGAGCAAGGTCAGATTGCAGCTTTAGATTCGGATTCAGACTGTTTAAAGACAGGCTACGAGCAGCTCAATAAAAAGAATCTGGCTAACATACAAATGCTCTGACAAAATACATACATTCAGCCTCAAACTGTTTATGAACGCAACTGTATACAGTACCGCCATCGTCAAAGTTTCTATAGAAGGAGCTTTGATACGATCACGAGTTATATTAAACATCTTAACCGTTATTTGAAGCCTAATAACAAATATGAGTTATGCCATCGCTTCCGTTTCATCTTTTGTTCGTTTCTTTCCGTGTTTCTGTCTCTTTCACTCCTTGCACCACCACCACCAGCAGTGGTGCGCCATGATTTTGGTGCACCATTTTTAGTCATTGACATCGTTGTATCCGTCAACCCTTACGTGCCTGGTAAGTTCTACAAAGTGTGTGCTAATTAAAGTCTTTTACATTTTATTTTACGAAATATTGCAATAACTATTTCTTTATAAAAACATTTTCTTTGAAATTTTATATTAGTTTTCAATTTTATCCATGTACAAGTTCTTAGTGTGATTTCAGCTTCATTTGTTAATTCCTGATTAACCTAAATTAATAAAACTTCCGACCCATTGTTATTATGTTTTTCGTATTAGTCAACATTATAAAAAATTAACATATTCTACTTGATTAAAGAAGCTCAAGTTTTACTGATTTCAGTCTTCAAATTTGCTACTAACTGATTACTGATAATTCTGACTGAATAATCTAAGTCAGCGTGCCTTGCTCATTACAGTAGTCACATTGACATCGTTTACCACCATCAGGCGACAAACACCTCTCATATCTGTTATTATGCTTCCAATAATGGTCCAAATGTTTAATAGAAACGTTTTACCTGAAAATAAAACGGATATTAAACACACTTACCTTATTCCAAGCCTAATGCATATAGCTCTGCCTGGTGGCAAACAAACGACGTAATGACTAATAATGGCGCACCAAAATCATGGTGTCCCAGTGCTGGTGGTAGTGGAAGGAGTGAAAGAGACAGAAAACACGGAAAGAATCGAAGAAAATAGGAAACTACGGCATATTTCATATTTATTATTAGGCTCCGAATAAGATATGTTTAATATACGTTTAATTTTCAGGCTAAAAGGTTTCTATAAGATTTTGGCCACTTCTTTTACCTACACTTGTTTAATAATCCTTAGCTGGATTACCTGTGTTTTCTGTTATTAATATTTCATTAATTTTGCGCGTCATAAACCAAGTGCCTAAGAGATATTTCATGAATTTAAATCGTTACTTTCACATCAAGTATTTTTTGTTTCTTTTTTAAAATCTGCCAGTTTGCATAAAATAACAGTTAAGTATTTTATTTTCAGAAAGTCGGTACCGTAAGTGAGGGTTACTTTAGCTCGGGCGGGTAACTTTGTCCCAAATCAGAAAAAATATTGAACTTGCCGCCACATCAGTATCTCTTGGGTGACCGTAATAGTTCCAGTTGAAAATCACAGATAGCCATATAGGCGCGTAGTGTGGTGTTGTTTTACCGACATCGTTCGTATCAAGTTGTCATTGTAACGCGGGATTTTTTGCAACTGAAATAGTTCGCAAGTTTATGCGCAAACTTTCTCAAAACTGTGGTTTTCGGTAAGTTTACAATTTTTTCTTTAACTTAATTATTTTTGGTTAAAAACATCCATTTGTGTATACAGTATGCTAATGGTGATCTGTTATAAGGGTTACTTAACCCCAACATGGCTTAAAATGAGTTTTTTTCACAGAGAAAACTCAACGAGCTAAAGTAACCCTCTATAAGGCCAACTTTGGCCCAAAATTAAAAAAAAATTATGAACCCTTAAATATATTTTTTTCCTATTTTCGTATGATTACTTTGTAACTTATACTTTAAAAGTTCACAATGGAAAGATATAAACGTGACATATTCATTACAAAGAAAAGCTACAATTTTATTTGAAAAAAAAAGTGCACATTTTAGGTCAAAGTAACCCGCAGTTACTCGGTAATTGTTGACATTGTTTCAGTTAAAGTAGCCTCTATTCCAATGCGAACGAAGAGATTTGGTGACTCATTTCCTTTTCGCACCACATGAGAAAAGCAACTTACAGTCCGTACAGAGACAAAGTTTCATACAATCGCGCTAATATAATATAATAATATGGTTTACTGTACTGTGCATATGACAAATAATAGAACGAATATTTATAGCAAAATTTTCTTTACATTTAAACATCTCGCCGTTTAATGCTTAAAAGTGTAAATATAACAAAGAATATATGTTTTAAATTATTATTTAGTGTCCACTAAGTAAATAGTAAATTTGCTATGTTGTATTTGTTTTATATGTGGTTAATACATGTACATAGATAGACCTTTTATATATAGTTCAATATCGGAAGATATATTTTGTTAGGTTATGTTATTAATGGTGAAACATTGTTATTTTACCTACATATCTCGTAAAACGGTGCGTTACAAAAAAAACTCCGTAATTCTTTGACCAATAAGTAATAGTAGGCACTTGCATTGTTTGCCGAGGGACAAAAATCTATTATAAGATGCATAACTAGTTAATCAAATTATATTTTAAACGGTTCGTTTATTTAAATTTATTCTCATGTCGCAACCCTACGAAAAAGGAAAATTTTTGACATGTCTATAGAAGTTTTATCTCTGTACGTATCTCTTTACTACTGTGGTCGTACTATCCGCAAATGGAATACCTTGCCCACTCACGTGTTCCATCCCTCTTACAACCTTGGGCCACTCAAGGTAAACTTAGAAAAATATTGGTAACTCTTTGCTTGTTCAATGCACCTCACGAATTTATACTTGTACTCTAAGCGTAGTAGCGCCGATGAGATGATTTATAATAATTTCTATCGAAACGAGGTACAATGTTAATAAATTCATTACATACATTGAAAAAGCAAATCATTACCACTACTTTTTAAGTGTAGTTTGAGTGGCCCCCTAGATATAAACACGCACACGAATATATATTCCAGAAATTCGACTCACATTTTTATCATGACTACAAACATATGGGTCAAACTAATCACCTTTTTTTTAAGTTGTTTTTTTATTAATTTATAATAACTATTACTTATACTTTTTTCTGTGCGCTAGCACTTGTTTCGCTTGTTAATATGAAGCTCTACAAAGCTGCACCTACTTACTTTGTTCCTACGTTCATTGAACACTTGTGTACAGGAGGTGGTCAAATTAATAGGTACAGTAAACAAATAAGTACTTATAGAATAAATTAGGGGACCGCATCAAAACCCTAAACTGTCCTTGTTTAATTTATTTGCTTTTCGCAGATATAAATAGGTACCGCTCGACCAAATGTCTCGCCTGAAATTATTTTATTAACTGCCAGCATGCCACCGCTCTGAATAAAAAATGTGTTCATTTTAAGAATGATTTCATCGATGGTAATTATAAGTAAATTAATATTTTTTATGGATAAGTTAGTGTGCCTCATAGTGATAATGCGTTTGTTGGTCACTCTTAATGTGAATAAATAGAATTATGGTATCTATAATGTGTTGGAGTTTCCCATATTAGATACCTCGAAGAATGTCGCCTGCTGCTAGTGCCTCGGTCAGATATTATATTTATTTGACATGTTCCAATTGAGCCGTGCGAGTAATTTTCTTATCCCATTTTATTAATCACATCTTATCTTGTGTTTATAACTATTATAGAACGTAAAAAGTGCTGTGACTTGTCAAAAACATTTTAAAGAATTAAGTATCCTTGTAATCGTTCATAAAAGGTTAATAAATTCGTAAAATTAGGTAGTGTTTACAAAATTTTGGTTCTATCTAATCTAGTCAATCTTTTCAAGATTATTATAGGAAGTGTATGGAAACTTAATAAAAAAGGAT